AACGAGAAATCCTAGCCTAACTAACGTACTAATCGGCATTGGTGGCTCCGATGTCCTTATACTTGGCCTCATTTGTCTTTAAGTACATAATTACACACGCAATGCATGTGTGTATGTGTGCCTGCTTCCTGCAGAATCCAGGAGAGGCCTTGAATTCCCTGGAACTGTAGTTACTGACAGCTTTGAGACACCAGCCATGTGAATGCTGGGGACTGAATAGGTTGAGTGTACAGTGAAGGCGTTTACGTCTTCCCAGGGCTTGTGTCGCTAAGGATGTTGTGTGCACAGTGTGTGTGCTCATGCCCACTTCTCCTTTCTGTACAGAACTATGCCCCGCGCTTTGCTCCATATTCATAAAGAGCATCCACATGCTTGTCACATGTGTCTGTGCCATGATTTATTGTTTTTACTGGTAGTTATTTAAATAGCTTATGGTCTCACTATTTCCCCCAAATGAGTCACTAAGTCAGTCAGTTGGTGTGTGTGGCATTAGAGTTGGGCTTTAGTGTATTCTGTTTGAGAGGGTTCTAGATGTCTGAGGTCTGGTGAGACGACTCAGCTGTTAGGAGCACGTGCAGAAAGAGGACCTGCATTCAGTTCCCAGCCTTTATAGTGTCTCAACTATCAGTGACCCAGTTCCAGGGGATATGGAGAACAGGAACACACATGATGCACGTACGTGCATGCAGACAAACCATTCATGTACAAATAAGTATTAAAAGATTTCTATGATATCTAGATACAGATATTATAGTGCTTCCTGTTTCTATTTTGTGCATGGTGCTGCCTTGGAGCCAGTCCTGGCTAGCAGTAATGAGTTTTATGCCATAGGTAAGGACCATGCTGACAACCCTTACTTAGCCTGAGCTCAGGTAGGGTGGTGATAGGTTATCTTGGGAGCACATTAATGTTGGGAACGGACTCGATAACCATGAGCTTCTTGCATAGTCGCAGGGGCAGAGGGGGTTTGCTTTCGTAGTCACTGCAGAACTGGTGATTCTGGTGTTAGTCATATTTTAGGACTAAGGTAGGAAAAGTAGACGAACCACATAAGGAAGACAACTTTGGGCATTTTTCTAGGATAGCCAGGGCTTAAATGGTGAGACCCTTTAAATGGTCAGAAACAGAAGAAGGGAGGACATTGGGGATTAGAAAGCAGGTTTAGTGGGTAAGAGGACCAAACCTAAATTTAAATCCACAAAAGCCTGCCATCCCAGCACGGAGGAATGTGTGTGTGTTAAGTAGGTGATAGCAGAAATAGAGGTGCAAATTTGGGTCCCTTAATCCTAAAAGACAAGATCTTAAAGCTAGAGGGTCTTTCTGACTTCAGAGTTCCTGTGAACAATGGCTTTTTTCTGTGGAGAATATCTGTTATCAGTGTGCTGATCTTTACGAGGGACACAGCCACATCAAACTTTTATCTCCGCAGCTGCAGTGTAAAGTATGTCACCTCGTTGATCTTTAAAGAAATGCTTAGTTGAGGCGGCCTTGTCTTAATAGCTTGATTAAATGTAGTCTGTCTGCCTTCAGAACCCACTGTCTGGGCAGGGTACGTAGGTCAGCTTCTAGAATGCTTGCCTATCTAAGGTTTGACTCCACAATGGCACAGTGTCTGATCTTATAAGATTTGTCTTGAGTGGTGACACTCCTGATCACAGCCCTTTCTGGTCTCTAAGGCCAACATGGCCTAAGAAAAGCTAGACTTGTCTTAAAAACAAAAATTCTGTGAAAAGTTTAAGATCACCATTGGCTCCCCAGTGAGTTTAAGGCTAGTAGGGGCTCCTCGATACCATTATCTAAAAAAAAAAAAAAAAACCCACAACAAAAACATATTACATTGAAGCCTCATTAGCAATGGCTAAAATACTGTTTTAATTTGCAGATTAAGGTGGTACATATATTGGAATACTACTCAGCCTTGAAACCAGGGGGGTGTTTTCTAAGGGAAATGAACCACACACTGAAGGACAGTTCTTGATCTTACTTGTGTGTGAGCCTAAACTGTCGAACTTAGACCCAGTGGGGAAGTTCAGCATGTCTGGACTTTAGTTGCTCGCCACATCTTCCTCCACAGAGGGTGGCGGTGACGGTTGCCTCTGATCAAAACACTTGGCCATTCAACTATGCTGTTTGCTTGTCGATTAGACCTTAATAAAGCTGGGGCAAGAGCGACAATTTGTTTCCTTAACCATCAAGCTTACCTTGCTTTCTCTAAACCTTGCATATTTGTAAAAAGTACTTGGAAAATGAGGTAATCTATAGAGAGTAGATTGTAAACCCTAAGGTGGGAAACTGTGATAGAAGGGGAAATGGCAAGTTAGCAGCAGGGGGAGTTCCAGCTATGGGCTGCCTAGCTAGTCATATGTGCTCTGTGTATTCTGTCCCTAGTAAAGCACGTTGTGCCCAGCGGCTGGCAGTGGGTAGCAACTGGAACTCGGTGTTTACTTTCTTCTGTCCTCTGGTTTCAGGTTGAAGATGAGATACCTCCAGGAAAGAGCTGGGGGCTGGAGCACTCCGTGTGCCGGCTCAGACGCCCCAGACTGTTTGGACATTCTCTGGAGGAAGGTTTCAAGGCTGATGGGATTATGAAGGCAGGTGCCCGTTTGACCTGGATTTTCTGCATTGCACGTCTGTGCTGCTCCCCTGTCCCCTTCCTATGGCACTTGGTACTGACTGAGCTGCAATTCTTTCTAGCTCTGTAAACAGTTGTTTGAAACAGAATCTAGATTATCCAAGCTTGTTTTAAACTTGCTGACCTTAGGCTGGTATTATAGGTTCATACCCATACTGGCTGGTTTTGTGTGTCAACTTGACACAAGCTAGAGTCATCAGAGGAAGGAGCCCCAGGTGAAGAAATGCCTCCACGAGTTGCAGCTGTAGGGCGGAGGAGGGCCCAGCCTATTGTGGGTGTTGCCATCCCTGGACTGTGGTTCTGGGTTCCCAAAGCAGGCTGAGCAAGCCAGTAAGCAGTACCCCTCCATGGCCTCTGCTTCAGCTCCTGCCTCAGTTTCTGGCCCTGCTTGAGTTTCTGGTCTGACTTCCTCCAGCGAAGACCAAATAAACTTTCTAACTTGGTTTTTGGTCATGGTATTTTGTCACAATAGCTTGGTTTCTATTTGTAGCAATACTCTTTCATTAGCATGTAGACCAGGCTGGCCTAAAACTCAGACTTGCCTGCCTCTGCCTCCCGAGTGCTGGGATTAAGAAAAGCTCCACAACACCCAACAGTCTTTGGTCATGGCATATTTATAAAATTTTTAGGAGATAATGTATTTTGGCGTATGTGCACACGCATACATGAGAGAAACCATATACTGTGGAAGGCGGGTATTTAACACCAGGAAAGACCTTGGAATTTGGTGTTTAAGAGATAGTGATTGTTCCTTTCAAACAGTGTGAAAAGCATTTGAAGGTACTTAAAAGCATTTGGAGGCAATAGGCATTGTTCAAACTGTAGAAACTGCTGTGTCTTCCTGAATTCACTTATCTCATTTTTATGTGATAGGAGGGACACGTATGTGTGTCTAAACCACTGCGTTCCTTGCCCACAGAACCAGTGCCATTTTCGCAGTCTGAAGCCTCCGTGTAGCTATTCCATGTGAAAGTGGACAGCATGGAGTTCAGTTGGAATTGTTATACCTTCGGGAATTAGCGGAGGCAGAGACTTCTGTGTAAAGATGGGATTGTGGAATTTTTTTTCAGATTATGTAGCCAGGTTGGATTCCTGATTCGCCCCCTATGTGTTGGTCACAGGTGTTTGCTACCACATTTGGTTGTACTTACAGTAGGAGTTTTAAAGGAGAACCCCTTTTTTTCTGTCAACTTATCAACTTATTAGTCAGATGAACCCTTGGGTCCTGATTTCCAGTGGAGTTTTCTGCAGTGATGTAAATGTTCAATATTGCATGTTCAGGATTGCAATACAGAATTACTGAACAATCAACTGTTACTGCTTGGCTGAACAGGTTTGAGATAGGGTCTTTGAGATAGGCTGGCCTGGAACTTCATTTTCCTGCCTCTGCCTCCCAAGTAAAGTGTTGGGATTACAGCCCTGAGCAGAAACTTAATTTTAATTAAGTGGTCTTGCAGTGTGTGTTTAGTTACACATGCAATTTTCTTTTTAAATAACTATTTTTATGTGCATTGGTGTGAGGTGTCAGATCCCTGGAGTTACAAGCAGTGAGCTGCCATGTGGGTGCTGGGAACTGAACCAGTGCTCTAACTTCTGAGCCATCTCTCCAGCTCCTGCACATGCAATTTTTAAAAAATATTTTATGTACACAGTGTTCTGCCTCTGTGTATGCCTGCAGGCCAGAAGAGGGCACCAGATCTCATTGTAGATGGTTGTAAGCCACCATGTGGTTCCTGGGAATTGAATTCAGGACCTCTAGGAAGAGCAGTCAGTGCTCTTAACCTCTGAGCTATCTCTCCATCTCCCACAATTTTAATACCTACCCAAGACATATCTTGTTCAGAAGCCTTACTTGATAAAGGATTCTTTTCGTTTGGGTAGACTGATCTGGAATCCAGAAATCTCCCTCATCCTCAGAATGCTGGGCAACCCACACCTAGTGAGATTTCCCCTTTTCTTGCTCTGCACCCTAGCACTTTTGTTGCCTGCCACTAATCTAGCAACGATTTTAATGTTAATTGCTAACAATGGAAAATTCTAGTTTATAATTAGGTGAAGGATAGGAAGGTTGGAGGTTATTTGTGGTAATGAACTTTATTTCCATTACAAGAAAGCTCTTACTTATGGCAGAGGAAGTTAAAGCCTCCTTACCCTGCCATCCTATGAGTGTGCTGCCAGAAGAGAATGCTGGACTCACTGAAGCTGGTGAGACTTCTGTGAGCATTGGGAGCAGAGCTCAGGGCCTTCAGGAGGTCAGCAAGTGCTCTTAACAGCATCTCTCTAACCCCATCTTAATTCTTAATCCTGTGTGTAGAGGTTCTTCCCCAATTTGATGTTGGCTTAGGGTTTTGTTGGAAAATTTATATTTTGCAGGTCCTTTGTAGCCTAAGCTAACTGACCACTTGCTATGGCGTCAGGTGTGTGCCGCATGTGGCCTTCCGGTGCACTGAACAGCGGGCCAGGTAAAGGTGATCAGTTACTCAGTCCTTGTGACTTGGCACATGGAGTGTGTTGGTATGCTTTATGTGAGTGTAATGTGTAACCTCTGTGTATCTTTATTTTCCAGGGATGATGTTAAGTAGTTCTGATTTCAGCGTGGATTCCAAGATTAAAGCTAGATTCATTTGATAACAGGTAAATATTATAATAATTATATTTACCTTGAAAGATAAGGGATGCAATGTTATTAGAGGCTGAAGTTTAGTTGCAAAGGCCTTTGAGGATTCCCTGGCTTGAACGGCATCAACAGCCTGCCTTCCCTCAGTCATTCAGTTTGCCATGATGAAGTACATGTCAAGTCCGTGTTTCAGCTGATCACACTGATTATAAACATGTGCTGAGCAAACACGTAAATGAATTCAGCTACAGATTGCTTACTTGCCTTCAGCCCTTCCCTCCCAGCGAATTCATAATTTAAAGGATTTATACTATCAACATTTTGTGTTTTAATCTTTGTAATCATGTGAGATAAATGTAGTTGATCCTATGTGAATCACAGAAAAAGCACTGCGAGCTGGTGTGATTCTGTTAGCTAGAATTTGACAGTTTCATTTCAAATTTTTTATTCTCTGTTTATTGGTACTTTGCCTTCCTGTATGCTGTGTACCAAGGCCAGTGCCCACAGGCCAGCTGTGGGCCACTGACAGACAGCTATGAGCCACTGTGTGCTGCTTGGAATTGAGCCTGGGTTCCTCAGAGACACTATGTAGCTCTCTAGTCTCCCCGTCATTCAGAAGAACACACGACTTATGAACAGTATTTCTCCCCCACCCCCTGCTTTTTTATCCCCCCAGAAACTAAGGGCGGGATTCACGAAATTCAGAGAGAGAACTCTAATCTGGTCTCCTTCATGCTGTAAGTACAACAGATGAGCATCTACATTCTTTTATGGTAAGGACTGAGACCGAGATTGATTTATTATGTGCAGTGTTCTGCCTTCATGTATTGTGCCTGCAGGCCAGAAGAGGGCACCCGATCTCATTATAGATGGTTGTGAGCCACGATGTGGATGCTGGGAATTGAATTCATGAACTTTGGAAGAGTAGCCAGCACTCTTAACCTCTGAGCCACCTCTCCAGCCCGAGACAGATTTTGACATACACAAGGTCTAAAAACACTGATTTGTAATTTGTGGTCAGCTGCTTGAATTTTAGTTTTTAAACTGTCAAAGTCAAAAGATCCCGAGGTGGAAGGTACAGTGTGATTCTCTGGTGCACAGCAGGTGTCTAGCTGCACTGGGGTTAAGCGTGTGCTCTTGTCACTTAACAGCACGTTTCCTGGTGTTATATCTTAGATGATAATGGTATATGACAAGTAGGTATTAGCTATAAAGTAAAGGATAACCAGGCTACAGTCTACAGACCCAGAGAGGCTAAGTAACAAGGGGGCTCAAAGGGGACACCTACATCTCACTGAGGGTGGATTGGCAGTGAGGTGGGATGGGAATGTGGGGGTTCAGGGGGGTGTACAGAGAGGAGGGAGAGGACTGAAAGCTGACTGGAAAGGGATGGGGTCATGTCAGGATCAGGCAGAAGTCCAGTGTAAGGGATTCTCAGGAATCTGACCAGGAGGGACTGGGACATCAACCTTTGACCTACAGTCTGTCCTGCCAACCAGTGACTGGAGATGCCTAATGATATTCTGCTATACTTACAGATTGGTGCCTAACCCAGCTGTCTTCAGAGAGGCTTCCTCCAGCAACTGATGGAAACAGATGCAGAGACCCACAGACATACATTAGACTGAGCGTGGGAAATCCTGCTGGAGAAAAGGATTGTAGGAGCCAGAGGGGTCAAGCATGTCAGGAAAACCCACAGAATTGACTAAGCTGGCTCATAGGGGCTCAGAGTCTGAACTGACAACAAGAAACCTGCATGGGATTGAGTTGGCCCTCTGTATACATGGGACAGTTGGGTGGGAGCAGGGCCTGTCTCTGACACTTGCTGGCTTTTAGGACCCTACTCATTCTGGGTCACCTTGTCCCGCCTTAATACAAGGGGAGATGCTTAGTCTTACTGCAACTTGATATTCCATGTTTCTTTGTATACGTGGGGGCTGTGCTTTTCCTAAACAAACCGAGGAGGCAAAAGACCCCCCACACAGTTAAAATAAATTCTGTTCCTGCCAAGTGGCCTACTCAGGATTGCCACTACTAAATTCTAAAATTAGGCACAGTGTGGAATGATACATTGTGCATCCCTATATGATTAAGTAAAATTTTCTTAGTGGATTAATCTTGGTTTGGCAGTAACTTGTCTGTCATCATTTTGTAAGGTAATTTGAGTTCCATGTGCCTGATCCCTGACTTATCAGAGTCTTCTAAATGCTTCATAATATGATTGTAGGCCAGCTTTGTTCCCCACTGCTGAGAGCCTAAGTCTGTCATATAAAACTGGCTTGTTTCTCGGGGCTTCATGAGGATGGGCTGGCTGTCCACAGTAGTGCTTATTCCACGGGACTGTAGTGATTGATCCTGGGTTTTAAATGTTTTCCAAATAAATTCCTTTTTTTTTTTTTAATTTAATTTGTGTGTGTGTGCTGCTTGGATGTATGTCTGGTAACCAGTTATTCTTGGTGGAGGCCAGGAGAGAGGGTATCAGGGTAACTGAGCTGGAGTTAACAGGCAGTGGTGACCACCTGAATGCTGGAAATCAAGCCCAGGTCCTGCAAGAGCAGCAATCTAGTGCTCTTAAACACTGAACTTCTTCTTTGTTCAATTCTCTTTCCTTCCTTCTTTCAGAGATGGGGTTTTCTATGTAGTCCTTGCTCTGTAGACCGGGCTGGTATACAACTCAGATCTGCTTGCCTCTGCCTCCCGAGTGCTGGGATTAAAGGGATGTGCTGCCACCATCTGGCCCAGCTGATAAATAGTATGTTTCAAAGCAGGTAAACTCTTCACACTCAAGGTAGAGCATACTCAAAGATGAAAGCTGGCTCAGCAGAACAGTGCCATAGAATCACTTGCATATCATTTGAAAAGAGCACAAAGTAAACCTTGATAGCGCTACATGCTGCTGAGTGAGCTCTCCTTTGTCAGGGAATTCATGGGTTAACATAGTTTACTTGAATTTTCTGTTAACACAAATCCTTCATATTCTATAGTAATATTTTACATGTCCAGTCAAGGAGACATACACAAGCTTAGCTTAGGTCAGTAGTGTTTAACTAGGTCTACTAAGAATAAATAAGGCTGTGTGCTTTAGTATGTGCCTGTTGAAGTGAAGGGAACACATGTATTTCTGGAAGCATGGCCGAGAAAGGTTTGATAAGAGTGACTCGGAAGTAAGTTCACAAAATATTGTCGAAACCTGGGTGTTTGCACTCCGAGATTTAAGTGAGATTGTACTTTATCTGTACTCTATGCTTGGAACAGTTAAAAGCAGACACTCGAAAGGCTCAGTTACCTTAAACATGGTAGGTAGTGTATGGTTTACTCGTGACCCTCTTTAAAGGAACCCTGTCCCCAAGCTAAGGCCCTAAACTGAATTCCAGGAAGCAGGAAGCTTCCAGTACAGTAGTAAAGCTGACCCCAACCCCAGACACTCAGTGAGTAAATAAGATTACAGGACCTCAATATCAGAACCAGCCTGTTTAAGGGAAACAGCTCCACTTGTCCAGTCTTGAAGCATTTAATCTGCATCCCGGTCGCTGAGTGGCTGCTGGAACTAGAGATGCCATGGCTCATCGTTGAGTGAAGCCCACTGTAGTTTGAGGCTACTACCTTTTCACCTTTTATTTCTTCCCACAAACTTAACATTTATTTTTCTTCTCCAGTTTCCCCTAATTTGTCCCAGTAGGGTTAAGTTGCTAGGGGGAACAATTTCTAGAGCTATTTCTTTAATTGACAGGATATGGTTTAATGGCTGTAGCCTAGTTATTTTCCTAACATGTATAAAAACCAGGTTCTGTATGTCCAGCACACACTCCTATTGGGGAATGTCGCTTTTGTTTATGCTTTATTCAACTCTGAAGCTGTGTTAATTACTGTGCCTGTCTAAAACACCTGATGGTCTAATACCTGAATGGCCAATAACGAAGCAGGAGAAGGATAAGCAGGGCTGGCAGGCAGAGAGGGTAAATAAAAGGAGAAATCCTGAAAGGAAAGAGAAGAGCAACAACAGAACAAGGAGAGGAGGACGTCAGGGGCCAGTCAGCCAGCTACTCAGAGTGTGGCAAGCTGCAGAGAAAGAAGTAAAGAAAGGTATACAGAAATAAAGAAACGTAAAAGCCCAGAAGAAAAAGGTAGATGTGTTAACATAAGAAAAGCTGGCCAGAAACAAGCCAAGCTAAGGCCGGGCTTTCGTAACTTAGAAAATCCACTGGTTGGAGTCCATTGTGTAGATATAATTAATTCAACAGGGTTTTCTCTTCTGAGATGGTGGCTGCGAGAAAAAAAGTGTGGTTTGCATCCTAGCTACCTTTTGTCCCTCTTCCCAGCTTTATTAACGTTCAGTTAGAAAAACGTATTGACAGACACAGAAACCACCCAGGTAACCTCCGAAGGGCAAAGTGACAGACAGCAGTATTTAGGAGCTGGAGAGATGTCTCTGCAGTTAAAAGCACTGACTGCTCCTCTTCCAGAGGTCCTGAGTTCAGTTTCCAGCATCTTGTGGTGGCTCACAGCCAATTCCATCGGCATCTGTGTCCTCTTCTGGTGTGCAGAGGTACATGCAGATGTGTACATAAATTACATAAATATTTAAAACAAACAAAATAACCCGCTTAACTATTTGAATACTAACCAGCAAAGACATCTGGTTACGATTCCTGGGGCCGGAGGGCCGCCTCAGCAGTTACTGCTGGCTAGAGCAGCTGGCCATCCTCAGCATCGACAGATCTGGCCCTCGTGCCTGCCTCATGCCTGCCAGCAGCCCCCTCGTGTCTGCCTCGTACCACCCAGCACCCTGCCTCGTGCCTGCCTCGTGCCTGCCTCGCGCTTCCCAGCAGCCCCCTCGAGCTACCCAGCAGGCCCTGCGGTCGCCACGCATGCGCCCTGACAGCGTGGCCTCGGCATCCGTGTCTCACGGTGGAAGGCGGGCCCTTTAGTTCTCCGTGCAGCAGGTATTGTCGTTTCTCTGTGGGAACTGAGAGCTGTGCGGGTCTGCTCTGAACGAAGGACAGGTGTCTGGGAGCTCGAGTGTCTGTTTGTCCCTCCGAAGCCGGGCTCCCCACCTGAGGACCCAGAACGACCCTGGGCCGCCCGGGGCGGGCACACAGGCAGGACAGACAGCACAGACATTACCTGGCTTTAAGGCGACGTAGGATTGTTTGTTTTTGTTTGTTTTGTTTGGGGGGAGATTTTTTAAATTAATTTTTAAAAATTTATTTTGCATACCAACCACAGTTCCCTCCCCCCCTCTCGCCCCCCATCGCGCTCCTAGGTTCAGAGAGGGCCAGGCCTCCCATGGCTGCAACAAAGCCTGGCACATCGAGCTGAGGTAGGGCCAAGCTCCTACCCCTGAATCCAGGCTGGGCGAAGCATCCCAGCGTGGGGAATACGTTTTGCCTTTGAATCAGGAGCTTGCTTGTAGCCCAGGCTGACCTCGAATAATGTATGCGCTACTTCAGCCTCTTGAGCGCAGGAATTACAGGTGTGGCTATCACCGCTAAGGAAACATCACCGCTTTTATGCAATACATGACTTACTAATGCAATTACTCCCTATACTGAAAAGTAAGAATTACCTGCAAATGTGTTAAACTATAGCAATACTGATAGATATATTATTTAACTGATAATAAAATTAACAAACTCTTTTGTTTTTTATTTTATTAAGCAAACATTTTAATGTAGATTTTCAGGCTTCATCATAGATGAACTAGCTTAGTTTTTATATAATTTTATCAGGCAGCTAGTCTTTTAAAATCTAGGCAGTTCAGTTAAGGAATATGAGAAATCAAGATGTACAAAAAAACCTAAGAGTGTCAGTTAAAGTTTTTACTGCAGCCGTGTGCAGCCTCGTATTTGCCAAGCATGAAGTACCAGCTCTGACTGTCCTGGGACTCGCTGTGAGATCGGCCTGCTCCTACCTCAAGTACTGCCTTACAAGCAGAGTGCTTCTGTACTGGTGTTGGAAATGACACAACGGGCGATTTCGTTTTTTTTTTATTTGTGATGTTTCTAAGCATTTGCCATGTTCATTGTATTCTTGGTGTTGGTAAGAGTTGGAATTATCTGTGTATAACTGAATTCTCAGCCTTTGTATAAGGAAAGAGCACAATATTGAGGCTGAGATCAATATAAATTTTTTTTTTTTTTTGTTTTTTCGAGACAGGATTTCTCAGTGTAGCCCTGGCTATCCTGGAACTTACTCTGTAGACCAGGCTGGCCTGGAACTCATAGAGATCCACCTGCTTCTGCCTCCCAAGTGCTGGGATTAAAGGCATGTGCCACAACCACCCAGCTAATATCATTTTAATAAATACAAAAATGTCCATTTTTGGTCAAAATAAAAGTACATATAAAAAATTCATATTCATTACAATTTGACTTTTTTCATTTATTCCTTGCTAGGATTCTTCTTCTGGAGACTATTACCATGTCTTTGTACGAAGACATGTTGCTTTGCAATTATCGAAAATGTCGACTCAAGCTCTCTGGCTATGCTTGGGTTACTGCCTGCTCTCACATCTTCTGTGAGGAGCACGGCAGCGGTGAGTTCAGTCGTTCCCCAGCTCTCTGCCCTGCCTGCAACAGCACCCTTTCTGGAAAGCTAGACATTGTCCGCACAGAACTCAGTCCGTCAGAGGAGTATAAAGCGATGGTGCTGGCGGGGCTTCGACCAGAGGTTGTGCTGGACATCAGCTCCCGAGCAATGGCCTTCTGGACGTACCAGGTTAGAGCTCAGGGGCTGGGAGACTGGGCGGAGAGTGGGGCGCTCACGTGAGGGGAAGATGCCTGATGGCAGACGTCTGTCTTCATGTGCACAAACACACATGTACACTGAAGTATAATTTGAGGCCTGTGTATGATCATTTTTCTCTTGGTGTGGGGTGGTGCCAAATCTAAGGTTTTGTGCTGAAAAGGTAAGTGCTTTACCATTGTGCTAAATCCCTACTCCCTTCTGAGGGATTCCCTTAAAATGTCCTTCACTGTTATATTTATATTTCTTATAAACACATGAATGTACAGAGAACTTTGTTTAAATAGTCTCACCTAGTTTTTATTGCAAGTATTTATCATGTGCCAAGTAGATATTTTTGTTTTTATATTTTGCGAGTAAACTGTCTATACTCATACTTTGGTTTTATTGTCTATACTGTGTGGCAGTTACCTACACATTTGTTCAACTCTAGCTTGAGGTTTTTTTTTTTTTTGTCTTTCAAGACAGGGTTTCTCCGTGTAGCTTTGGAGCGTGTAGACCAGGCTGGCCTCGAATTCACAGAGATCCACCTGCCTCTGCCTCCCGAGTGCTGGGATTAAAGGCGTGCACCACCACCACCAGGCGAGAACATTTTTGTATGCTAACGATCAAACCAGGGTCTTGCATATGCTAGCCAAGCACTTCTTCA